CCCCCCCCGCACCTGCCTCTGCCTGACCCTGGCTTTTTAACCGCTACCCCCCCCCCCCGCCCCCGCCTAGTTGCCCTGGCCAGCTGGAAGCAGTCAGAACGAGTCTGCATCCCCTATCACCAAAAGGCCGATATGTTAGGTTGGAGAGAGCCCAGGATTGGATACATGCAAACGTGTGATGAGATAATGGAACCCTTCCTGGAATTTCTAATAGATCAATGTGCCAGACACAGATACCAGCTTCTCCTTCCTGTTATCCACACAACCCCCACACAGATACTGACTCCTTCCTGAATACCCTGCCTACCCCCTGTGACAGAGACTTCCTCAGCTGAATACCGTGATGATCCCTGTGGCAGAGACTTCCTCAGCTCAGGCCCCTGCCCCTCACCAAACACCTGTATAAAAAAGAAGCCCCTCCCTCCCTGGGGGTGCGAAATCACTGGCCCCACCTTTTGGGCTGGTGGGTCTTGCCTGAGAATTCAGCATTAAACTCCCCTCCTTTTCTCCTCTTCAATTGTTTGGTTCTCTGGTCACTGCTCAGTACTTTAATGACAAGCTCCAGTTAGCCCTGGAGTCTACTACCACCTCTTTTAGCCTCCCTACAGCAGCAAGTGACATCAGTAGTCCAAGTAGCCCTACAGAACCAGCTCGCCTCAGACCTTCTGACTGCAGAAAAAGGAGGAACCTGCATATTCCTTCAGGAAGAATGCTGTTACTACATCGAGTCCGGAGTAGTGGAGCAAAATGTAAACGTGCAGACCCTGACTAAGCTGAGTGAAAAACTACATGCAGGATCCTTTCAGGACAACTCTCCTTCCGGCTGGTTCCAAAGCCCCTTAGCTACCTGGGTCCTACCCATGATAGGGCCCCTGATTCTCATCTGTGTCTTTTTTCTCCTAGCCCCCTGCCTCCTCAAGTTCATCCGCTCTCAGATCACAGAGATGTCATGAGTGACTGTGAATCAGCTCCTGCTCCATCCCTATGCTTGGCTCCCCTCCAATGGGCCTCTGCCTAACCCTGGCCTTTAAATGCCCCCCTCATCGCCCTTAGCCAGCTAGAAGCAGTCAGAACGAGTCGCCGTCCCCTATCACCAAAAGGCCGGGATGTTAGGTTGGAGAGAGCCCAGGATCGGATACATGCAGACATGTGATGAGACAATGGACTTCCCCTGGCATTTCTGGCAGATCAGCGTGCCAGACACAGATACTGGCTTCTCCACGACCCCCATACAGATACTGACTCATTCCTGAATACCTGGCTGACCCCTGCAGCTGAAACTTCCTCAACGGAATATGTCAGTTCATGTCCCGGCCCCTCACCCAACAGCAGTATAAAAGAAGCGCCCCCCTACCTGTTGCTGTGAATCCACAGTGCCCTATCTTTTGGGGTAGGTGGGTCTCCCAGGGACGCAGAAATAAACCTTTTCCTTTCCTTTCTTTTCTGATTCACTGGAGTCTCTATTTCTTGCGCCGCCTTCTGAGCCACCTAACCTAACAATATTCTACTGTGAAACACAGAACCTTCCACTCTCCAAATCAACCACAGGAAGAAGGATTTCCCCACAGGAAGAAGTGTTACCCTACAGGAAGGTGCATCCCCTATAGGACAGTGCATTCCAAAACAGAAAGATGTGTACTCCCAAAGGGAGAAAGATTCCTCTCCAGGAAGATGTGTTCACCCACAGGAAAAAGAATTCCTGCACAGGACAGTTCATTTCCCCCAAGGAAGGTGGATTTCCCCCAAACACATCTTCCTGTGTGGGAATT